GACGCCCCCCTCGCCGCCGTGCACGCCGCCGGACGCGCGTTCGCTCCGTGCTCGGGCGAGGAATGAAAGATGCGGGAAAAGAAAAGATATTCCCTCCCCCCTGCCAGAAGCCCAGCGCCGAAGCCCACTCGCGTAGGGGGGGAAATGAGGGAAACTATCCCGGGGGATGATCTCGGGGAGGGTCGGATGTCGTGTTCTGACCCTGGCATGGGAAAAGGGGGGGTTTCTCCCCAAACATGAACGTTGCACGCCGGGGTTTGCAGATCCTGGCATTTATTTTTGCTCCAGAAGCCCCATTTTTTCCCATTATTGCCCAGCCCAGACCTCCTTGCTGCCCCTCTTGGGCTGAGCTTTTGGCTTTTAACCTGTTGCTTTTAACTCTGGCCAAGGCCCCAGGACAGCTTCTCTCTGGAGAAAACGAGATGTTGTTTCCCCCTGGTGCAGCCTGGGGGGGATTTTTGGGGAGTGCCATGGGGTTCCTGGGAGATTTCAGTCCCGCAGTGGAGGATGAGGCTGTTCAGGCTTCAGCTTCTTTGGCTCAAACCCTAATTTCCACTTTTTTTTACCACCTGGGGCTTCTTGCGGATGCTGCACAAAGATGCTCTGGCTGCCTTGGGACTGAAAAACAGGGAGGGGAAGGGGGTAAAATAACAGTGCATGCCCCCAGTTTTAGTCCATTTGGGGAGGAAATGGGGTGTTGCAGGGAGCGGGAAGCCATTTCCCAGCAGCTTCACAGCTTTTCTACGGTTTGAGCGAAGCAACTGCAACCTTAAAATAGCTGCTTCGCAGGCAGGCTGCCGCGGCCTCAGCAGCCTCATAGGTTTTTGCACCCAAAATAATAAAAAAATGCATGAGTTCGTGTGGGTTTTGGCTTTTCTGATGGAGCTCGGGGCGTGTGGTTTGCTCCCGGTGTGAGGATGGTTTTGGGGAGGTGGCAATTAGTGAATTAGTGCAAAAGAGGAAGGTTTCTCTCCATGCCAGCCTCTGTCTCTCATTATTTCTGTTCTCGCCCTCGTCAACAGAGGTAAGGACTCTTTATTTAATCGCATGGCATTTGTATCGACAGGGCAGGTTTAAACCCTCCTGGAAACCTCGTTTATTTATAGATCCCATATTATTTAGGAGGGGGGGGTCCCCCTGCTCCTGTCTGCTCTTGCGGTGCCTCCCCCTCAGCTGCCCTGGGGCTGGTTTTCCTTTTTCTCTCCCAGGT